ATAACAGCCATAAGGTTCTAATGTCAACAAGTCAACTTTATTTATTGAATAATTCTTGTAGTACATAATTTCTTGTAATCAAGGGTGCCCACCCTCTCCCACACAAAAAAAGCAAGAAAACCACTTATCAATATCAATGATAAGTACCAATAAATAGGATAGAATGGAAGAAAGAACCCCCTTCACTATCTAAAAATAGGCAAATCGATCCGTCTATTAGATCTCATAGAGATCAATTTCAGTTCTCAACCCATGACCAATATGAGTTCGAAACTTCCTTTGTAACTCTCATAACTTTTTCGTAGTTGCTCCCTTCCATGTCTCATTTAAGAGGAAACCTCAAAGCGGTTTGAGCAGTTCATACGATTCATACATAGTGTTTTGATTTAAAATTTCAATTCTTTCGCATTTCAACAGTAGCATATTGGTTCATGGAGTCAAAGTCCAAAATATGAAAAAAAGAAGCGTTACCACAACTCTACCACACGTGAGAGAATGGACACCTTGGGTATAATAAATTATGTACTAGTAACATGATTGTTATTTTTTTTATGTGCAATTGCTTTCAATCTTATTGGCCCATTTCCTCGGCGCCTTGTCCCCTTTGTCACCCATTCCCTACCCACGTTTTCCGCTTTCCATATAGATGCATTATCCATCAAGAAACTCTTTCTATATATAGTAAATTAATATAAAGAAGTGGGTAGTTTGGATTATTTAATGCGCGGATTCAAAAGGGTCAGTATCCCACTTCGATATAAGGGCATTTTCTCTTTGATGATTTTTGTTTTTTTATTTTTTTTTTGGGCACATTCCATTCTTCTCCTAAATCTGCTTTCCTCTTTCAGGCTTATCCCTTTTGTTTCTGGGAAATAATTTTTGCCAATGCTAATGGAAAGCCCCTCCAATGACCGGCTTACTTTTGGGAAGATGGGTTATGGGTATTTTTTTCCCTTTAATTATATTTGGATGCATGAATTTCAAACTATTTTTGATGTTATGCTTAAATTCGTGAAATTTGTAAGTTTTTTTTGGTTATCGGATAGGTGGGTTGATCTTATTTATTGATATTTTATTTGAAAATTATTGTTCTGATGTGTATTTATATGTATATTTGAATCTTCAAATATGCAGAAAAGCTGTGTTTAATTGTGTGTAAAGTTTGAATCTTTAAACTGGAGCCTTATTAGGAGGATCCCATAAAATTTGTGGATAATAAATTGCAGTAATTATGAATTTCAACAAATGTTTGACTTCGATGTGATAGAAAAATGAGCTTAGAAGTTACTTTTTAGGAAACACGACCATAGGCATATTATGTAATTTTAAATTTTATGCATAAAAGTTGAATATTTCAACTGTTTCATTGGGGATTTGCCATGATTTAAGTATTTAAAATGACTGTTGGAGTCATGATTTATGAATGTAAGAAGGTGTTCATTTACTTTAGCATCTAGATTGGTGTTTTGAGATTTCCATCTAACATTTAGTCGGAAAGTTTGGATCTTTCCTCTTTAATTTTTTTTTTTTTTTTTTTTGGAAGGGGGGG